TTTCGAGGAATTGATCGTCGTATCCGTCTCACGTGAGGTTCCGGCAGAGTATTTACGTCACGTTATCGGGCCTCACATTTCTCCCACGATTAAGGGCGAGTTCCACGAGCTCTCAAATATTATCGTCTTCCTCCAGGGTCGTATACCAAGGTTTCGTTCCACTGTGGTAAGTACAGGGTGGATCTTTTCATTTGCCTCTTCTGGGTAGATTGGCTTTTATCCCACTTTACTAACATTGCTTTCCCCTTATTTTCTATAGACCAAGAGTTCTGGATCAAGACCTTCCACGACGTATACGTTTCGGGGCCCTTCTCTTGTTCTGCGCCTTTTTCCATAGACCATTCTACAACTTGACCAGGATCAGCACCACGCGACAAGACTTGAGGTGGTACGAATTCGATTTTGCTTCGTTCATCCTTTTCTTTACTCAAAACTCCCCTTACAGAATCGAATTGTCCAGCATTCCCACCTTTCACACACCATTCACGCATCCCATTCTCATAGCAATTTCCAGGCTCGACCAAGTGTGGGTTCCTTGTCACTTGGAGGTTGTTTTGGGGCAACCGTTTGAATTCGTCAACTCTTCTAGTCCAATCTACACAAGCTTCATTCAAGTTTTCCAACGGGATTCGTTGCCAATTTTGCCCAGCAGGAAATCCATATCCACCAAGTGCGATCGTTCCGTCAGGATCATCCATATCTGCAGACTTTTGATAATAAACGAAGGTTTTCTGTTCATCTTTTTTGACACCCATTCCATATCGATGGCAATGTCCAACGGTATACGTGCCGACAGGAGGGCCCAACTCACATGGGTTCAGAGGGCTGACGAAGGGTTCATGTTCATCCTTTTCAGCTGCAATTCTAGAGGGCTTTTTGCTTGGTTCAAGTGGGTCTTCGATTTCCTCATCCGGGTTGGCCGGCTTTTGAGAGTATTCGATCGCCTTTCGTTCTTCTTTTTCAACACCAATCCGTTCGGCCTTTGTGACTCCAACTCGTCTGGCTTTTTCAACTCCAATTCCATTACTTGCATCTTGTCCAACACCAGTTTCGTTTCGATAATGGCACCCACGGTTGACGGATTCTAGTTCTTCAAGCTTGAGTTCTTCCAAGTATCCATCGATCAGGCTTTCTAGGGGAACTTCGGCGTTAGGGTTATCAACTTCTACTTCTGGGACAAGATAGAAGTCGATTATCTCCTCAATCGGGTCTTTCCGGTAATAGGACGGCGTTAAGAGGGCTTCTGGACTTGGAACTACTGGAGTTACTGGAAACGGACTTTCTTTTTCTACAGGTGGGGCTGGTTGGGAATACGAGGGTAAGTATCTAATGTTTTCTTTGTTATCGTTATCCAGATTATTATCCAAGCTAACATCTTTTAATATTTCAAAAAAACATTCCAGGTCTTGCGGGTCATAGAAGCTACGGTTTTTCATGGGTTCGTCCATCATTCCTAGAGCTTTCGCCGTTTGATCTTTGGTAAGTGTGTCTATCAACTCCAGACATTTCAGCTGCAACTTTCTTACTTTTGGGCAGCTACTAACATCGTGTTTCTTTTTTTTTTGCAATAGGTGCACATGACTTCTCTTCGACGGCATCTTTGGATCAGTTCGTTTCTTGGGGCTTGCTGTCGTCTAGGTACTTTTGTTTGGGTCCCGTTTTGCTGATAATTCCGATTGGCGATGGTTGATTCATAGATTTCATACATTGTTTTGGAATCCCCAAGAGCTCTTGATCGTAGGTAAGTACTGATCTCCCCTTGAGTCTTTCCTTAAACCTACTAACTTACTAACTCTTGTACTTACTATCTTTATAACCAAAACCACGGCTGGGCCTTCCTCTTGGACCTCAAACCGGAATTCAATCACCTCAACTGTCCACGGTACGTTGGGAAAGTTGGAAACAATAACGATAGTCCTCAGTACGTCGAGAATAACCGGACACTTATGCCAGATGCCTCAACCCGGAATTACACTACGTCGAATCGGGGTTGGCACTCTTCTTTCTGGGTAAGTTTTCTCTTTTTCTCTAACCTCGGCTTTCCACACTTCGTCGGTACTAACCGAAACTATGCTAATTCTTCTCTTTTATCACGGCTGGGATTGCAGTACCTTGAATCAGGCCAGTACCTCTTCTTTTTCTAATCCAATTTTTCCTCGAATCGGGGGGGGGGTAGCAAACGTTATTTTCGGATCTCACAGTCACCACCAAAAATGTTGGGTTCGGAAGTTTGCGACTCGGTCGCTCCAAAATTCTAAACCTCGCGTAACGTACAATAAGTAACCTTTTCG